ACACACACACATACACATACACCACACACACACACACACACACACACCGCCCTTCATTATGTGTGTTGGCTAAACATGAGATATTGGTCAGTGTGTGATGATGGAGGCTTCGTCTTATTATTGGTTTGTTTTTCAGACTCATCTTTCCGCTCTGATTGACTTCCTGGTCGCGTGTCGGGCTGCTGAATTATTGATTTGAATTTACTGCTAAAAATGATTTTAATTATAAGATTTGATTGACTTAATTCATCCCAAATAGCTTTGTTAGAGCAGCAGGTTTACAAGACAGAGCATGTGATATTAAAGATATCGTAAAATGTAATAAGAAATGACATTTCAAAAAGTAAAAGCATATCATCAGTAGACTTAAAATATAAGGTAATCTAACAATGTGTATACAAAAGATAAACTACGATTTAATAAATACATAAACTTCAGAGGTGGGAAGTAATTAAGAATATTTACTCAAGTACTGTTCTGAAGTACAATTTAGAGGTACTTGTACTTTACTTATTCCCCATTTTATGCTATAATTTTGATGATAATACTTTTCTACTTTTACTTGAGGAACATTTTGAATGCAGGACTTTTACTGAAACAGAGTATTCCTACACTCTGGTACTTCTACTTTTACTCAAGTACAAGATCTGAGTACTTCTACTTTGACTCAAGTACAAGATCTGAGTACTTCTACCTTTACTCAAGTACAAGATCTGAGTCCTTCTACTTTTACTCAAGTACAAGATCTGAGTACTTCTACTTTTAGTCAAGTACAAGATCTGAGTACTTCTACCTTTACTCAAGTACAAGATCTGAGTCCTTCTACTTTTACTCAAGTACAAGATCTGAGTACTTCTACTTTTAGTCAAGTACAAGATCTGAGTACTTCTACTTTTACTCAAGTACAAGATCTGAGTACTTCTACTTTTAGTCAAGTACAAGATCTGAGTACTTCTACCTTTACTCAAGTACAAGATCTGAGTACTTTTACTCAAGTACAAGATCTGAGTACTTTTACTCAAGTACAAGATCTGAGTACTTTTACTCAAGTACAAGATCTGAGTACTTCTACTTTTACTCAATTACCAGATCTGAGTACTTTTACTCAAGTACAAGATCTGAGTACTTTTACTCAATTACCAGATCTGAGTACTTCTACTCAAGTACACTAGTAAGTACAAATATATAAGAATTAAAATCTATGTCCAAAATGAAATATAATATAAACATAGGATACTTGAAATATACATTTTACAGATGCAAGTTGATTTAATAAAAATATAAATGCATTGATGACGAGTTTAACAATATCTACACATTGTTCAGGGGAAGTACAAATACAGAGTCGATCTTTAAAGAGAATAGATTAAAACAAGGCTTTGCAAATTAATTAAAACGTATAACATAATAAATAAATATCCACAGAAAAAAACAACTATTGAGAATACAAGAGAATATTAAATACATAAAGAAATTAAAAATAAATATGTGAGCATAGGACACACACATTATACTAGCGTCTAATATATATATATATATACTTTTTAATTTAAGTGCAATAATGTATAGTCTGAGTACCATATCTACAAATTGTTCAGGGTAATGAAAGTAAAAAAGAACTGAGTGAAATCTGGTTAAAAGGATTATTTCCAGAAAAAAAGGCGGCTGTTTTTTGTGTATTTTGTTAACCTGGAGTTATTAATGAGTGCAGTGTGAGTAAACAGAGCCAACACACACGCACACGCACACACACGCACACGCACACACACGCACAGACACGCACACGCACACACACGCACACACACGCACACACACATGCACACACACGCACACACGCACACGCACACACACTCACACTATCTCTACACTCTGATAAAAAACAAACCTTGGTCAGTTTAGTTTGAGGGTTTCTGCTCAGGCTCTGCAGAGGACGGCTATGTTTCCCGGGCAGTGAAAGCACCTCTGGTCCGTTTAGAGGAAGTGATCTGCAGCCTGCTGAGACTTCGCTCTCTGTAAAGTCTCACACGTTCAGACTCCAGCCGGTTTCAGGGTGCAGCTCTCAGATGTGAATGGCTTTCCTTCACTTTCCTCTGAGGACCCACACACACTCCGGACTCAGGAGGCAGCGCCGCAGAGCAGCAGCCAGCATGGTTTGAGAAACAGAACTACTTTCAGTATCTACTGACGTGTATATCTTTGAATATAGTAGCGGGTAGAAGAAGTACTCGGATATTCCACTAAATCTGCAGTATTAGGCAGAGTTGTAAAGTATCTAAGTAGATTTACTCAAGTACTGTTCTTAAATACAACTTTGAGATACTTTTACTTTCCATGTTGTGCTACTGTGTACTTCTACTCCTCTACAGTTCAGAGGTAAATGGTGACTACTTTTACTATATTTTGATGAGAATACTTTTATACTTTCACTTGAGGAACATTTTGAATGCAGGACTTTTACTGTAACAGAGTATTCCTACACTCTGGTACTTCTACTTTTACTCAAGTACAAGATCTGTGTACTTCTACTTTTACTCAAGAACAAGTTCTGAGTACTTCTACTTTTACTCAAGTACAAGTTCTGAGTACTTCTACTTTTACTCAAGTACAGGATCTGAGTACTTCTACTTTTACTCAAGTACAAGATCTGAGTACTTCTACTTTTACTCAAGTACAAGACCTGAGTACTTCTACTTTTACTCAAGTACATGATCTGAGTACTTCTACTTTTACTCAAGAACAAGATCTGAGTACTTCTACTTTTACTCAAGTACAAGATCTGAGTACTTCTACTTTTACTCAAGTACAAGATCTGAGTACTTCTACTTTTACTCAAGTACAAGACCTGAGTACTTCTACATTTACTCAAGAACAAGATCTGAGTACTTCTACTTTTACTCAAGTACAAGATCTGAGTACTTCTACTTTTACTCAAGTACAAGACCTGAGTACTTCTACTCAAGTACAAGATCTGAGTACTTCTACTTTTACTCAAGTACAAGATCTGAGTACTTCTACTTTTACTCAAGTACAGATCTGAGTACTTCTGCTTTTACTCAAGTACAAGATCTGAGTACTTCTACTTTTACTCAAGTACAGATCTGAGTACTTCTACTTTTACTCAAGTACAAGATCTGAGTACTTCTACTTTTACTCAAGTACAAGACCTGAGTACTTCTACTCAAGTACAAGATCTGAGTACTTCTACTTTTACTCAAGTACAGATCTGAGTACTTCTACTTTTACTCAAGTACAGATCTGAGTACTTCTACTTTTACTCAAGTACAGATCTGAGTACTTCTACTTTTACTCGAGTACATGATCTGAGTACTTCTTCTAGTACTCGTGTGTTATCTCTGTGACTGTAGTGATTGATGGATCCTCTGGACAGACTCTTTAGATATGAGGTGATGTTTTTATTGAAGGACATTGTCTCTTGAGTATCCAGCTTCTGTTTGTGAGACAGAGGACCGCTCACGTTCTGCCGTCATTCTAGTAATGACCTTATCATTAATATTATGTAATGAAACCATCTGTGCTATGACGGGAAGCTCATTTTAATTTAATGTAGTTATTTTTTGTATTTTTACATTATATCTATTGACTTCTTTTAAATGTGTTCATAAATTCAGTAATTGATGGGGAGTGTGGGAACACAGGGATTTGAGCCTCTGCAGACCGTTGACATGCACTAAAGCCTACACTAGAGAGAGCAGAGTAGAGTCTTTCATATGACTCTGATTGGCTGCTGAGTGGTGTCATCTGACTTTATTTATTCATTTCGGTTTGTTGTTGTTGTTGTTGTTTGGGCCCCTGTGGGTGGCTGTTGGGTTCCCTCCCTGAGACTTGAAGTGTGTCTTCACTGGAGCCTGTTCATCATGAAGAGGACTGTTCTTCACAATTATTATTATTATATTTATTTGATTAATTTTGTGGTCTATTTATTTTAAATTATTTGTATTTTTTATTTGATTTATTCCCTTTTTTTTAAATCTTTTTTTCCTCTTTCTTTCCTTGTATGGACAGACACACACACACACACACACACACACACAGACACAGACACAGACACAGACACAGACAGATACACACACACATAGAAACACACACACACACAGACACAGACAGACACACACACGCACACACAGAAACACACACACACATAGAAACACACACACATAGAAACACAGACAGACACACACACACACACAGATACACACACACATATAAACACACACACACACAGATACACACACACACACACATAGAAACACAGAAACACAGACAGATACACACACACAGATACACACACACATAGAAACACACACACAGATACACACACACATAGAAACACACACACACACACACACACACACACACACACACACACACACACACATAGAAACACAGAAACACAGACAGATACACACACACACAGATACACACACACATAGAAACACACACACAGACACACACACACACACACACACACACACACACACACACAGAAACACACAGACAGACACACACACACAGATACACACACACATAGAAACACACACACAGACACACACACACACACACACACACACACACACACACACACACAGAAACACACAGACAGACACACACACACAGATACACACACACATAGAAACACACACAGAAACACACACACACACACACACAGATACACACACACATAGAAACACACACAGAAACACACACACACACACACACGCGCTGTCCTTTTATACCCTCTCCACAATAGTGTCCCCTGGTTCTTCTGGAAGATTCTGCTCAGTTGTTTCTGTCCTCCTTTTGTCTCTCAGTTTAAACAGCAGTGTGATGAACACACACTCTTTCTATGAACGGATAACACGTCTTTTTAAGTGGTTCTTATTAATATTCCTAGTGTGTGTGTGTGTGTGTGTGTGTGTGTGTGTGATTGTGAATATGGAGCATGGTGTGTGTTCTGAACGCCTCACTCTTCTCTCCTCCAGGAGGCAGAGACAGGATTGGTGCCGAGCGTTCAGGACTTTGATAAGAAGCTCTCTGAAGCGGACGCCTACCTGCAGATCCTGATCGACCAATTAAAGGTGAGCACTCATCATGACATGACAAAATACAACTCGTACGGATCGTAACACATTTATTCCAATTTGTAGCATAAAAATCAATCTGCAATTAAAGACAGTAATTAATATTTAATATTTGTATGCATCATCATTGATCAGCAGATTACAGTGTCACGTTGTTTTTGAGGAACACAATATTAAAAAAGTGTGTTTTTGAAGTCTTTTATAATACAACAATTGGTGTACAGGCTTCCTCTGCGTTAGCTCATTAATTTACTATCATTTATAAATAATCTGCATTAATCAGCTTCAGTCTACCCTGTATTTGAATCTGTGTCATGATGGCCTTTCCTTGTTGATCCCACTCTTTAACAAAGCAGAAGTTACTTAAATAAGATTTGCGGTAGCGTGGTGAAAAAGCAGAACATGTATTAATTTACGGAAGTAGCAGCGTAGTCTCAGTGTCCTTCATCGGTGAGAAAATCTGTCAATATCTCAAGCTTCTGTTCAGACTCGCCTCAGTTCCCTGTGCCGTGTTAAAGCTGTCCTGTTCTGTTCCCTCAGCTGTTTGATGAGAAGATCAAGGACTGTAAAGAGGATGAGTCCCGCAGAGTGAGTACCTGCTAATCTGTCGTTAGCGCTGAAGCTAACAGCAGGAAGCACGTTGAATTATATATGATACAGATTCCTTATTCAAACAACACTTACATCCCTAGATATACACCTGAACATGAGCAGGAGAGGACTCTTTAAAGTAGAGACACTACATACTGATATACACCTGAACATGAGCAGGAGAGGACTCTTTAAAGTAGAGACACTACATACTGATATACACCTGAACATGAGCAGGAGAGGACTCTTTAAAGTAGAGACACTACATACTGATATACACCTGAACATCAGCAGGAGAGGACTCTTTAAAGTAGAGACACTACATACTGATATACACCTGAACATCAGCAGGAGAGGACTCTTTAAAGTAGAGACACTACATACTGATATACACCTGAACATCAGCAGGAGAGGACTCTTTAAAGTAGAGACACTACATATTGATATACACCTGAAAATGTGTGGGCCCCTTTCAACTTGAAATCATAATATTGAGGTGTTTTATATTGTTCAGTTTCACTTTGTCTCAGAGTGTTACCAGCAGCTGTGATCCACTTCCTCCCGTAGAGACTGCACTCAGCCTTTGGTCACTTCAACCTGTAATGTCTGTGACTCTTCATTATGGGAAACTGTCTTGTACATTTCCACAGAACAAAAACCGTTGCATCAGTAAGTCAGACGTCACCACTTCGATGTTATCTCGTAATTCTGATTCATCCGTGGCATCAGGGTTTATGCTTTTACACTTTGTACCTGTTTTTTTGTACAGATGTTAACGCCTAATGTCTTCTCTTTTTACAGAAAATTGAAAATCTGAAGGAGACTACTTGTGTAAGTCAGCCATTAACACATTTTCTTTCCTGTGTCCCGTGTCAGTTCCTTGTAATTTAACTTATTTTCTCAACATACTTTCCTTCCAGAGCATGGTAGAGTCCATCAAGCACTGTATCGTTCTGCTGCAAATCGCCAAGGTAAACACATGTTCAGCGTCCTCCTGTACTTTGGTCTGCTGCCACTTCACCATCAGCATTTGTGAGACCACAGCAGTGTGTGTTTCCCTCACATCTGTGTGTGTGTGTGGTTCCCTGCTTCGGTGGTAGATGAGGGTGTAGCCGGTATTCGTTTGATCACATGGTCCTCTCCGCCCTGTGAAGAGGAAGTGGAGAAATCCCTGCCTCTTCATGTGGTTGCGAGGTGGCAATTTGAGCTTTTTTTAACCTAAAAGAAATCCCCATAAATTGTAGTTTTAATCACAGATTGGCCTGCGAGAGAAATCCTGTAATTAACCCCGAGTGTTTTCCCCATGTGATGAAAGGATTACTGCATGTTGGTGGGTATTGTGAGGCTCCGTGGTTTATGAAATGACTCCTTCTTACACCAGTAGTCTAACATTGTCTTCTCAAAATTTTAAGGACCAAAGTAACGAACAGCAACACGCAAACGGACTTATAGTAAGTTTGACATCCTCCGTCCATGGCTAAAAGAAAAAAATCCAATCAAACAAAACTGCTAACTTCCTTTTTCCTGATTCATTTACTCTTTACTGTAGAAATCATATTAGTCTTTTAGTGCATGCCGTCTGATTTGGAGCTCTTTCTCAAACTCTCTCCCTCAGATTTAAACCCTTCTAGCAGTGGTTGGGAACTTTTCTTTTCTCCATACAAAATGTATTTGATGTGTGCAAACTCAATGCACTTTGTTGTACGGATGTGTGCATTGACTTGGTTGTCTGCATGTGTGTTTGAGAGGCTGTTCCCTTCACCCTCTAATTAGAGTCAAGCTGCTCACCATTGATTTATGTTGAACACACTGCCTGCTTATTGAACCGTCGAGCACTAATAGCTGCAGAGACCACTTTACTTCATGTCAGGGGGCCACACATGTTTTACTTCACATCACATGACCTAAAGTACTGGGATATATGTCCAAGGAATTTTAGATCGAATTCTGAACATTATAGGGGCAATCTGCTTTATCTGTTTCCATTCCTTTTAGTATGTTGTGAGGATTAATGTGAAGAATAGAGTGGTGCAGGAATGAGTCGGGTGACGTGAAGTCATGTGACCGTGCTGTAGTTCCTTTATAGCCCAACATTAGCCACCTTTAGCTTAGCTGTGGTGACGTGAAGTCATGTGACCGTGCTGTAGTTCCTTTATAGCCCAACATTAGCCGCCTTTAGCTTAGTGGTGGAGACGTGAAGTCATGTGACCGTGCTGTAGTTCCTTTATAGCCCAACATTAGCCGCCTTTAGCTTAGCGGTGGTGACGTGAAGTCATGTGACCGTGCTGTAGTTCCTTTATAGCCCAACATTAGCCGCCTTTAGCTTAGCGGTGGTGACGTGAAGTCATGTGGACCGTGCTGTAGTTCCTTTATAGCCCAACATTAGCCGCCTTTAGCTTAGCGGTGGTGACGTGAAGTCATGTGACCGTGCTGTAGTTCCTTTATAGCCCAACATTAGCCACCTTTAGCTTAGCGGTGGTGACGTGAAGTCATGTGACCGTGCTGTAGTTCCTTTATAGCCCAACATTAGCCACCTTTAGCTTAGCGGTGGTGACGTGAAGTCATGTGACCGTGCTGTAGTTCCTTTATAGCCCAACATTAGCCGCCTTTAGCTTAGCGGTGGTGACGTGAAGTCATGTGACCGTGCTGTAGTTCCTTTATAGCCCAACAGTAGCCACCTTTAGCTTAGCGGGGCTGACGTGAAGTCATGTGACCGTGCTGTAGTTCCTTTATACTTCAAAAATCATACAATGAATTAAACCTGTAAATTGAAATCCCAAAACTCTCCCAAAAATATTTGTTGTGATGGAAAGGAAAAACTCCAGTGTGCTCCTGATGTGAGAATCCCACAGAGATTTTATAACTGACTTAATCTCAGTTATTAAGTACAGTATTATGAGTATAAATAGCACAGCATTAGCTCGGCCTATATGTCATACTGCATATATATCTGCAGATTAAGAGAGTGTAAACGTCCGTCACGTTGCTCATAATGTGGGGCAAATAATAAATGCACTTTAGACCTTGGTTTTATATACTTGAGCACTAGCAGGAAATGTGCTCAATATGCAGAAAATGCTTAAACCAGAACATTGAGTTTGGTCTTATGAGATGACCGTGGCTTAACAGCTATTTACTTCTTCATATAGACTCATGTTACCCATACTTCAAAATACAAACATGTTTTACCGAGAAAGGACATGCCTTTTGTTCTAATACTACTGTGGTATTTACAGCAGCTCCTGCATGTTTTTATCTGCTATAATCTTTGTGCTGAGGATTTCTTTGCAGCTTAGGAACGTGTGAATGTCACGTTGCCTTTAACGCGTGGCAAATCATAAATGCACTTTAGATCTTAGTAATAAATACTTGAGACTCCAGCAGCACCATCACTGATGAAAAGAGAACATAGGGAAAAGGAAATAATAATAATATAATTCCTGTAGTGTTTTTGACTTTTTATTTAATTATCCAGAATATATATATATATTTGTTTGTATTATTGTTCATTCTCTTTTCCACTTCTGATTCTGTGATGCAAGAATTTCCCAAATTGGGATCAATAAAATCTATCCATTTATCATCATCTATCTATCTATCTATCTATCTATCCTATCTATCGATCGATCTATCTATCTATCTATCTATCTATCTATCTATCTATCTATCTCTATATCTATCTATCTATCTATCTATCTATCTATCTATCTATCTATCTATCTCTATCTATCTCTATCTATCTACACCCACCTACCCACCTACCTACCTACCCACCTACCTACCTACCCCTACCTACCCACCTACCTACCTACCTACCTACCTACCTACCTACTACCTACCTACCTACCCACCTACCTACCCACCTACCACCTACCTACCCACCCACCTACCTACCTACCTACCTACCTACCTTACCACCCCCCTACCTACCTACCCACCTACCTACCTACCTACCTACCCACCTACCTACCTACCTACCTACCTACCTACCTACCTAAACCAGTGTCATGATTGACTCGCATGACTTCATCTAAACTTCCCTAGAAAATAAGAAAAGCTGTGAAATCCCAGATGACATGTCAGGTTTGAGAAACAGGAAACGTATCACTGAGTTAATGCCAGTCTCGCCCTGAGGGAGTAATGGATCAATATGTTGTTGCTGCAGCTCGTGTTGCTCGTGTCTGATGGGTTATTGGTGACTCTGACCCCGTTACACAAAGCCAGCGGGAGGATTATCTGCTAATGCATGGACATGTGAAAACCAGCCTGTCATGAAGCAGATTGAGGCAGCAGCCGAACACTGACACTCATGAGCACAGGCTACGGTTTAGAAAAGAAGGAGTGAAATATGAGCTGACAGGAAATGCTCAGTTTTAGTTTCACACACAGCGTTAAGCTCACACACATTACGTTATGAACATGAAGGTTCACCTGCTGAAAAACAGATGAAGCAAAGAAAGAGAAAACCATAAAGCAGAAGAAGAATAGATTCACACTGAAAGTATTAGAGAACAGAGCGGTTTACAGAGAAGAGAGAACAGCTGATCCTCTCAGAGATTTTATTTAAAGTCAGATATGTTTATAAAAAGTTAAAAAAAAGTGAGAATTTGGAAAAAAAGTCAGGAATTTGAAGAAAGTGAGATAAAAAAAAAATGGAATATAAAAAAAAACAGTAAACGTTGAACAAAATTGAATTTTTAGAAAGTTCAGGATTAAAAAAAAGTGAGAATTTAGAAAAAAGTGAGATTTTGAGAAAAAAATGTGGGATAAAAAAAAAAGTGAGACTTGAAAAAAATCAGGATTTTGAAAAAAGTGAAACTTTTAGAAACATTTGAGAATTTGAGAAAAAACTAAGCCATTTGAAAAAAATAGAATTTTGTAAAAAAAAGTGAGATCTTTGTAAAAAGAAAGAAAAAAATAGTGATGAATTTGAAAAAAGTGAGATTTCTTTTTTAAACAAAGTGAGAACGTTAACTAGTTATCCAGCATTATTATGAATGTAACTGTCAGGGAAACATCCTGAGGTCCTGATGGCTGAGTGAAGCTCTGAGTCAGATCTCAGGAGGTGTTATCTCATATTGATCAGATTAATGAAAGCTGGATCTTTCCAGGAAGCGATAGGAAATGGATCGTCTGGGTTTTTTAATCCACTCTCCTTCGAGTCCCATAGGTTCATCATCAGATATACAAGCAGGTAGTTGTGTGTGTGTGTGTGTGTGTGTGTGTGTTGTTTGTCTGATGTGGTGTTGTTTGTTTCCTGCAGAGCACCATTAACCCAGTGGATGGGATCTTCCAGCCCACTCTGGACACTCCTGTAGACGACGGCACCATGCCAACACAGAACACACTCCCCACAGGTATACACACACACACACACACACACACACACACAGGTAACACACTCCCCACAGGTAACACACACACACACACTACACACAGAACACACTCCCCACAGGTAACACACACACACACACTACACACAGAACACACTCCCCACAGGTACACACACACACACAGGTACACACAGAACACACTCCCCACAGGTACACACACACACACTACACACAGGTAACACACTCCCCACAGGTAACACACACACACACTACACACAGAACACACTCCCCACAGGTACACACACACACACTACACACAGGTAACACACACAGGTAACACACTCCCCACAGGTAACACACTCCCCACAGGTAACACACACACACACACACTACACACAGGTAACACACTCCCCACAGGTAACACACACACTACACACACACACACACACAGAAAACACAGCACCATGCCAACACAGAACACACTCCCCACAGGTAACACACACACACACTGAACATACTCCTGTAGACAACACCATGCCAACGCAGAACACACTCCCCACAGGTAACACACACACACACTCCCCACAGGTAACACACACACTCCCCACAGGTAACACACTCCCCACAGGTAACACACTCCCCACAGGTAACACACACACACACACTCCCCACAGGTAACACACACACACACACACACTCCCCACAGGTAACACACACACACACTCCCCACAGGTAACACACACACACACTCCCCACAGGTAACACACTCCCCACAGGTAACACACTCCCCACAGGTAACACACTCCCCACAGGTAACACACACACACACACACTCCCCACAGGTAACACACACACACACTCCCCACAGGTAACACACACACACACTCCCCACAGGTAACACACACTCCCCACAGGTAACACACCTATGTTACGTGTGTTCACGCTTTTCATTTGTGTACACACTATGTGCACATGTGGAATGATTCATCGAGGAAATGACGCCGTACTGAAGTCAAACAAAACAAAGAAACATCCTGAAAAAAAAAACATCAAATAATATTATTTAAAAAAATATATACATATATATATATACACAATCAAACATAAAGCCTACCTTAATAAATACAAATAATAATACCAATGTTGCAACTCTTTCCAAAAGAAAACCCTCAAAAGATCGCAAAACGTTCCTGAGAGTCCGAACCGCCTCAAAGACACCTTGATTTCTCCAAACGTCACTATGACCTCAAAGACACCTTGATTTCTCCAAACGTCACTATGACCTCAGAGACACCTTGATCTCTCCAAACGTCACTATGACCTCCAAGACACCTTGATCTCTCCAAACATCACTATGACCTCAGAGACACCTTGATCTCTCCAAACGTCACTATGACCTCAAAGACACCTTGATCTCTCCAAACGTCACTATGACCTCCAAGACACCTTGATCTCTCCAAACATCACTATGACCTCAGAGACACCTTGATCTCTCCAAACGTCACTATGACCTCAAAGACACCTTGATCTCTCCAAACGTCACTATGACCTCCAAGACACCTTGATCTCTCCAAACATCACTATGACCTCAGAGACACCTTGATCTCTCCAAACGTCACTATGACCTCAAAGACACCTTGATCTCTCCAAACGTCACTATGACCTCCAAGACACCTTGATCTCTCCAAACGTCACTATGACCTCCAAGACACCTTGATCTCTCCAAACATCACTATGACCTCAGAGACACCTTGATCTCTCCAAACGTCACTATGACCTCCAAGACACCTTGATTTCTCTAAATCCGCTCAGATGAAACGTCACTATGACCTCAAAGAAGCAAAGATAGCTCTTAACGCTCTGTGTTTCTGCTGCAGACTCTCAGGTGTGTAGATCAGACCAACGGCCCTCCTCGTTACCTGTCGGTCCCGTCGTCACGGTGATGGGCAGTTTGCAGACCCCGACCCCCAACAGCACAGGTTAGCTTCATTTATCACCTTATTAGGATCCCCATAAACACAACAACAACAACAACAGATCATCATTCCATGCCATTCACAGTTCAATTTGATGTGAAAACAACAATTATCATAAATTAACCGTAATAATCCAATCAGACACCGTTCAGTTATACTTTACGATACGGAGATTATCTTTGAGCAACTTTTTGAAATGTACTCGGGTATTTTCCTGAACCTTGCCCCCTTTAGAAGAAGCTTCAAGGTGGAATAGCTGCACAAATAACTGAATGACTGACAAACAACAACAAGCATGCTTCATCTGTATGAAAACATTACGGATAAAAAGAAAAGACAAAATGACAGTGTCTCAGGAATCTGCTCTCTGTGGCACAGACACAGAAAGACAGCTATTTTAAAAAACTATCTTAAAGTGGACCTATCATGCTATATTTGAATAATATAGTGTAGGACCATACCTATATAAGGCATATTTATACTTTTTCAAAACACCAAACAGATCATGCATTTTAGCCATGCCTCATTTTGCTCAATTTGACCATTTCTATCTCTGTTTTAGCAAGGGCAGATTCAGTGAGAACAGCACCATCTACAGGCCTGGCATATGTACTACAGCGTCTCCAGCGCTTTCGAACGGCAATGGCCGTGGCTGTCTCCTCCTGATTGGTGGAGTTGGCCCAATAGCCGTAGCGCCACCGTCCTGACGTCAGGACAGTGTTCAAATCTGGATCAGTTTTTATCAGATCCGTTTGCAGCCCCTTTTTTAGAGATTTGGGTATGGAGGAAAATAGAGAGGGTTGTGTTTTCTGACACTTGGTGAGTTCCCTGGAACACCGGGGACACATATTCATGTAGAAAAGACGTGCATTTTGCATGATAGGTCCCCTTTAAGACTATTATAACAATATGTACATATGACAAATACTGTATTCAAAGTGGAGAGCTGTTCTGGTTTGATAGAGGTGACTACATAGTGCACAAAAGGAGAGAATGTGAAGTGAAAATGTATTTAAAAAATAGACAAACCAATAAAAAATAACATAAAATTAAAGATATTTATATTTATAATGGTGACTTGTGTGGCTTGTTCTAGCTACTTTAATTTGAAAAGAGTTGGAAACGTTGTTTTTTGTGCCGCTATTCAAGCGTTAATGTTCCTAGGAGGTGAATTTCCCAATAAAAGCACGACTTATCTGAAGCCCTCACAATCAACTTTGACTCCGTAACGCTAAGGTACAGCGTGACTCCACGGGGGGTTAGAGTCACAACATGAATGATTACTGAGCTCCTCCAGTCAGAAAGCCTCCAGTTCTCCTGCAGGAGCATGTGCAGCGTTTCAGCAGCAAAGAGACGGTAGATATATTATTAAAGAGGTAAGCACATCAAATTAGATAAGTACACGTACAAATGAGTAGCAGTATTACACAGGGTTTTTACGGCCATTAAAAACCTGGAAAAGTCACGGAAATTCAAAATGCTAATTCCAGGCCCTGGAAAAGTTATGGAAAACTATATTTGTCCCAAAGTTTTGGAAAAGTCATGGAAATATAACTAAAGTTGCATCAAATATAATTTATATTTTGTCTAATCGCCAAAATAGTAATACTATAATGATAATAAACTGTATCGTATAGTAATGAAACGTGAAATGGCGTTTAACTGACGAGGTGTTTCGCTGGTGAGAGATTTGAGTTGCGTTAGCGTGTAGAAGCTAGTAAGCCTACTTGATTTCTTTCAGACATGTTTCAGATGCAGACCTGATTTTCCTGTTCCATGTTAAAATAAAGCATTTTCAGTGGTACCGCTGAGAAAGAGTCATTGTTTTGGTCATGGAAAATTAGGTAAAGGTCCTGGAGAAGTCATGGAAAATTAGGTAAAGGTCCTGGAGAAGTCATTGAAAATCATTGGTGAAAAAGTGTATGAACCCTGATTATAAAAAAGCAAGTGAACATATACACGTATTGACAGAGATACACTTAAAACTGTGAAAGTCAAGTGTATATTGCACGTAAGCAATGCCATTTCTTAAAGTTAGAGGCCATTGGAAAAATACATAATATTGACTTGACAATGACCTGTATACTTTATGAACAAAAAATCTAATTTATTTATTTTTAACCTGTTTTTAAATAATTTTTAACCTAGTTTTATTATTTTTTAATTTGTTCTTTTTATTATTTGTTTTTACCTTTGTTGGGGGTTAGGGTTATAAAACATTTTTTTAACCTTTTTAATTAGTTTGACCTTGAACCTTTTCATTTGTATTACATTTTTTTACATTTTATTTTATTTGTACGTATACAAATGGTAATGGTAAGTTAAGTATAACCCCCCCCCCCCTTTCTTCAATAATTTCATTTGACAAATCTAAAACAGAGCAAATGTAAGCATTGACAGAGAAGAATGGGAAAATGAAGTGTATATTGCACAAAAGAACAGAACACTAATAACACTAATATATCATATTCCAATTACTTGTATATAGACTCTCCTTGCACTATCTCTATTCTATATTATTTGTATTTACTTGCAACTATTGTATCTGTGTGTCTCTGTTGGAGCCTGTGACCTCAGATGGTCATTGCCCTGTAGCTGAGCACACAGGACAATAAAAGCCTTGAATCTAAGGGAGAACTCTGGGAGAGATTGCAGACTTGCCGTCATGTTGACATTATTTTTGTATTTCCTCCTTCAGGGAGCGTCCCCTCGGGCCCCAGCAGCGGCATGGCCTCCCCCTCTCACATGCCCCTCCCCTCACACTCAGTGCCCGACTTCTCGTACTCGTCCAGCGAAGACGAGTTCTACGACGCCGACGAGTTCTACCAGAACACAACGTCGCCCAAACACTGCATCGAGTGAGTACAAGACCAAATATAATACACAAGTACAAGAACAGGGATAATACAGAAATACAAGATGGTAGGTAGAGATGGCAAAAGTACACACATCCTTTACTCGAGTAGAAGTACACACATCCTTTACTCAAGTAGAAGTACACACATCCTTTACTCAGGTAGAAGTACACACATCCTTTACTCAAGTAGAAGTACAGATACTCGTGTTTAAAAATACTCTGGTGAAAGTAGAAGTACTGACTAAACTTCTTTACTCAAGTCAAAGTAAAGAGGCTTTGAAATGTACTTCAGTAAAAAGTACCCATAACTAGCAGCTGTTTTAAAGAGTACCTGACCTCCCTTTATATTAATAGAACAATAATGTCATTGTTAGCTAATGAATGTTTCCATGCTGAACAACGGCAACATGACAACGTTTTCATTGGTCCCTCTTCTTTAGAGAAGACCAGGAAATGATGGATACCACGGATCGTGTTCAAATCAATAGGCACGCAATGACTCTAAATAATAATGATCACGCCACCAAACACACATTCAAACTAAAGGAACCAGCCTGTTTGGGAAATGTGAGAAGTAGAAAGTACAGGTATTTGTGTTCAACATGTAAGAAGTAGAAAGTACAGGTATTTGTGTTCAACATGTAAGAAGTAGAAAGTACAGGTATTTGTGTTCAACATGTAAGAAGTAGAAAGTACAGGTATTTGTGTTCAACATGTAAGAAGTAGAAAGTATTTGGGTTCAACATGTAAGAAGTAGAAAGTACAGGTATTTGGGTTCAACATGTAAGAAGTAGAAAGTTCAGGTATTTGGGTTCAAAATGTAAGAAGTAGAAGTTCAGGTATTTGGGTTCAACATGTAAGAAGTAGAAAGTTCAGGTATTTGGGTTCAACATGTAAGAAGTAGAAAGTTCAGGTATTTGGGTTCAACATGTAAGAAGTAGAAAGTTCAGGTATTTGGGTTCAACATGTAAGAAGTAGAAAGTACAGGTATTTGGGTTCAACATGTAAGAAGTAGAAAGTTCAGGTATTTGTGTTCAACATGTAAGAAGTAGAAAGTTCAGGTATTTGTGTTCAACATGTAAGAAGTAGAAAGTACAGGTATTTGGGTTCAACATGTAAGAAGTAGAAAGTAACATTATCTTGTTTGATTTCATTATTACTGTAATTGTTTTTGTATTATTGTTTCTAAATAAATCAAATAGCTTAAACAGCAACAAGTCATCGGGGCGTCCAGCAGATCCATTTCAGATGAAGCTGCTCACTGTTAATAAAAAAGGCTGAGATATTTGCAGCACAGTTTCCTGTGAGCCCCTTCTCTCTGTTTCTAATCTCTCTGCTTCCTGTTCAGTCCCTCAGGGTCTCAGGCTGCTTCTAATGAAGCTCTGAAGAGGCCGGACACCACGGAGTCGCTCAACTCCTCCATGTCCAACGGCACCACGGACGCAGGTGAGAAGGGAGCGCACGCAAGATGCAGAAACACATATATTACAGCTGGTTTTCTGCCTGTCAAGAAACACTGAGCTGGGACTGTGTTCTGATGAAGTATTAGTTTCATTTTTATTTTATACCCTTTTTATTTATTTATTTTTTACCTTTTTAATACATTTTTGTATTTAGAATTGTTTTTACCTTTTTTTATTTATTATGAACCTTTTTTAATCTATTTTCTGCCCCCCCCCCTTTTTTGATAACATTTTATCGGAAAGAACACGGGTATACAAAAACATACAGAGCAAATATAAATAGTAGTCGCTCTGTATGTTAGTATCCCTCCACCCAACCCTCTGACCCTCTATCCCCTCCCCCCTACCCCCTACCCCCTAACCCTCTAACCCCCTAACCCTCTAACCCCCTAACCCCTAACCCCTAACCCTCTAACCCCCTAACCCCCTAACCCCTAACCCTCTAACCCCCTAACCCCTAACCCTCTAACCCCCTAACCCCTAACCCTCTAACCCTCTAACCCCCTAACCCTCTAACCCCCTACCCCCTAACCCCTAACCCTCTAACCCCCTACCCCCTAACCCTCTAACCCTCTAACCCCCTAACCCCTAACCCCTAACCCTCTAACCCCTAACCCCCTAACCCCTAACCCTCTAACCCTCTAACCCCCTAACCCCTAACCCTCTAACCCCCTACCCCCTACCCCCTAACCCTCTAACCCTCTAACCCCCTAACCCCTAACCCCTAACCCTCTAACCCCCTAACCCCTAACCCCTAACCCCTAACCCTAACCCCTAACCCTCTAACCCTCTAACCCCCTAACCCCCTAACCCCTAACCCCTAACCCTCACCTCTTGCAGATGCAATCTATGAAAAACATCCAGATAACAAAGTGGTGTTGTCAGGTGAGAGCTGTCTCAGAGGATGTGATTCTAACATCTCCTCTCCTCTGCGTTCGTCTTCAGATCAGTTTGAGAACGATGATCGTGATGATGAAGGAGAGGGAGAGTCTGTGGAGGAGCACAAGAGCGTCATCATGCACCTGCTGTCACAAGTCCGCCTGGGCATGGACCTCACAAAGGTACCACGTCTTTTTTTTTTTTTTTTAATTAATTTTATTTGGATTTATGTAAAACCCCTCTTCCTACC